CCCCCATGAATGTCTTAACATTTCACAGACATTCACAATTTCTGAATTGAATGCACTGCTGAGTAGTTCTTTGGCTTCTGGGTGTCCCAGTGTCAAGTAGTTTATTATTTGCAAAAACTGAAATACCTGTTCAGCATTCTAGTATGTGAGTGAAAACTCATATTATTTTTTTCTGATTCTTCCATTTACCTGTTCTGTTAACTCCTGGGGGAAGCCTGTGTGGACTTGTGACCATAATAAGGAAAAAAAATTTGTGGTTTTAGTTTCCAGGGACTTGGATTAGTCTGACATCCTCTTAAAGATGTTAAAGGTAAAACCATCTTATGTAGTTAGAAACAAGTAGAGCACAGCAGTTCGGATAGAGCCCAGGACGTGTGTGATGACCTGGGAGGCCTCCACAGGTACCTCGGGGATGAGTTTGTTGGGAGTTTCATTTCTAAATAGCGAGTCCCTGTCTGTCCAGCAGACACGGAGCTCTGGCAGTTAGTAGGATCATTCAGATAAAAAACTTCACTTACGCAAGATAAGTTAGCTAAGAGCCTTTCTTTCCCATTTCGGGGGAATCAAGGAATGCAGGATGAGTGTTTTATTTCTTGTTTAAATTATCTGCTCATGTCCTGTCCACTTTGTTTTGGTTGTGGAGTGCAACATGATTTGACTTTAACCAAAGCCTTCTAACTTGGCAAGATTGCCTCAGCTACCAGGATGGACGTGATATTGACCTTTGTGTGGTGCATGGTCATATCCTAGGAGCTGTGAAAGTTGAGAAACTGTTTCCTGGTTTTAAGGAATTTCCACTTGGTTGGGGGAGGGGTGGGAACACCGGGTGCCAAAGCTATTTTTATTGACTAGTACCACCAAATTTTATGTTTGCGTAAACCAGGGGTGGGGAACCTTTTTTCTGCCAAGGGCTATTTGGATATTTATAACATCATTTGCAGGACATACAAAATTATCAACTTAAAAATTAGCTAATGGCCCTAGCCAGTTTGGTGCAGTGGTTAGGGCGTTGGCCTATGGACTAAAGTGTCCCGGGTTCAATTCTGACCAAGTACAGGTACCTCAGTTGCAAGCACTATCCCAGGCTCTGCTCAGGGTGAGTGTGGGAGGCAACCAATCGATGTGTCTCTCTCACATTGATATTTCTCCCCACCCCCTCCTTCCACTGTCTCTGAAAAGCAATGAAAAAATATCCTCGGTGAGGATTTAAAAAAAAGCTATGAAAAAAACTCCTAGATTTCTTGAATTTCAAGTCCAGCCTGTGGTTACCTTGGCTGGGCCGGACTAAATGATTTCAAGGGCCCAGGTTCTCTACACCACGCATAAAGTATCACTTCAGTGTTAAATTAGGATTCTTTGGATTT